GTCCCTTAATGTGGATAGATGCTATGCTGTCAAAATATATATTGTAAAGATATTATAGTATAAAAAAATCCAGATAGATCAGACTGTTATATTAAGAGAGAGAGAGTATCAGGGATTATATAACCTTCAAGCAATACTCTATAAATATTATTTATTATTTCACAGATTTGTTTAAGTATCTGATGTCAGTGAATACAAAATAGGTTTTATTCCTGACAAGTATTTGCAGTGCATACTTCCTGTGTTTCTGGTTATAAGCAGGCCCACATGCTTTAACTGTTGGATAAGCTGAGGGTATTGTTGACAACTGTTTAAGAAAGTTGAGGTTTGCTAACTGGAACCTGTCCTCAGGCTAAGAGTTTCCTGTGACGATGCAAAGGGGTGTGAAGGAACTACCCATAAATAGAAAAGAGTTTTTTTGTTTTTGATTTGATAAAACAGTTGGAGATCCAGTTCAACAAATTTGTTCCATAGATCATGGCAGTGATAATTTAATCTGCAAATGATTTAAAGTATATAGTGGCAACCATCTCCTAAAATTATTAAGAAAAAAATCCCAGTTGCAAACTGTATGAGAGAGATTGCAGTTTGACATGGGACTGGAAGGAACTGAAAAGACTAGAAAGCTCAAGAATCTGCCCAAATTATAGTTAAGGGCCAAGAGAGTAAGATACTTGGTGAATGTGCCCAGACAAACTAGTTGGAAATATTCTCTTGGGTATTATTCATAGAATGATTATGCTTACTCTATAGGGTTATCAATGATTGAGAGGATGAATAAGGAGGAATCCAATTAATTCCAAAGACATATCAAGTCATTAAGTCCAAGATGAAAAGAGGGTCAGACCACTTCCCCCATCCCTCCACTCCTGCAATTTTCGCTCACCGGAAATGATCTAATGTGGTAAAAGGCCATTGCTACTGGCCTTGAAGCTCATGGTCATTGTAAGTTTGGAATTTACTTTGAGCTCATGAAACTTCATCTCAAAACTCTTTTTGTCAAGAATTGGAGACTGAAGAAAGGCTGGGAAACATAACGAACACTGTTATGCTCTTCCTGATAGATTTCTTTATAAATGGGAGAAATACAAAATAGTCATTAATTGTTCCTCTAAAGCTTGTAAGAAACTAGAGTGGAATAGGGGCCTGGGCAGCCCAAACATAGAATGCATGAAGAAGGAAAGTATCTATCTAGTAAAATATTTAAGCCAAGTGCTCTTCTTGTTTTTTCAAATTACTTAAGTGTCCAATGTGTAGCTGGTTTACTAAGTGGGCTGAGCTCAGTGGGAACAAACAGGAATAGCTTCTATGTTTCCTTCCTCCCTGTGTGGGCTCTCCCTGTCCTGTCCCCTGACTATAATTTGGGCAGATTCCTGAACTTTCTAGTCTTTTTAGTTCATTCTAGATGTTAGAAGAAAACTTTTAGACAAATTGAATTTAATGGAGTTTAATTGAGCAATGAACGATCCTCAGAACCAGAAGAGGATCAGAGAACTCCGTTCCACAAAAGTGGACAGGGAGCATTCCTGGATAGAGAAGGGAAGTGAGGTACAGAGACAGCTCAGTTGGTTACAGCTTGGAGTTGGCCTTTTTTGAGCATGGTCTGATCATTGGCCACCTGGGATTGGCTGCAGCCCAGCTGCTGCGATTGGCTGAGCCTCGGCTATTTGCTACAGGAGTGTACTCCTACACTGGGCTTTCCATTTCTTTCCTTGCCAAGTGAGGTTGTAGTTCCTTATGGAGGGACTCCAGGTAGGAGGCATCCTCAGGCCAAATTTGGTTTAACATGGTCCAATTTGAAACTACAGTTTCTCATCCAGTTAAAACTTCTGTTCCCATCATGCACACACACATCCTGGCTCACCTTGACCTGGAGAGAGTGGCTTACTATCCAGCATCTGTGTAGGGCATCCATTGCCTTCATTGCTAAATAGGCTCAATTTTCTGTTTTGATTTTGTCTTCAAGCCAAGATTTTAGAAAGGTGCTTAAAATATTTATAATTTAGAAAAACTTAGATTACTCTTCTGTTTTAATTTTGAGTTTTGTTTTATTCTGGTTAGTGAATATAATTTGTCATTTCTTTTCCCCCTTGGGAATAGTTAAGGTTTATTTTGTGCCTAATAAAAGGTTAATTTTTTATGATTGTTCTGCTCATTTTTTAGAAGGTTGTGTTGAGGGCCGAGCCCATGGCGCACTCGGGAGGGTGCGGCGCTGGGAGCACAGTAGCGCTCCCGCCACGGGTTTGGATCCTATATAGGGATGGCCGGTGCGCTCACTGGCTGAGGCCGGTCTCAAAAAAAAAGAACAAAAAAATAAATAAATAAATAAATAAAAGGTTGTGTTGATGTGACACTTTTTATATCTCTGTGAGATTAAGTTGTTAAAAGTGTTAAACAAGTCTTCTACAGTTTTACTCTGTACTTTCCCGTATAACAAGACAAGAACCCAAGAACCTTTACATACTCTGCCCTGCATTTATCGCTACCCACTTTGCCATGTCCTATGTCATGTCATCTGAGATTTTAGTTCCAGTTTAGTTTTTCTGTCTACACTTAGTTTAAAATGTCTACATTTAATTTAAAATACATTTTAACTTTTAAATTTAATTTTTAAAATTTATTTTAATTTAATTTCAGTTTATTTGTTAACATCTGTCCTTAACAATGAGCTTTACTCTTCTTTTTGGTACTTGGAACCCTGTCTTCCTTTTGGATTCATTTTTCATTTTCTTGGGATACTGCGGCCATTGATAATCCTTTCTTTTTTTTTTTTCTGTTAAATTTTTATTTTGTCAATATACAATGTATTAGATTATTATGGCCCATCACCGACACCTCCCTCCCTCCTCCCTCTCTCCCCTCCCACCCAAGAATGTCCTTTCCATTTGCTTGTTGTAACAACTTCACAAAAGTATAGTTGCTATATCTTCTCCCCCCCTCCGGTTTTTTTGTGAGTGTGTATGTGGGTGAATTAATTTGTTTATTTTTAGCTCCCACCAATGAGTGAGAACATGTGGAATTTCTTTTTCACAGGTTAAACAAGAAGAATTTCCTGGGATTAACAAGGTTAAAATTGTTTGGAGAGAAGAATTTATTAAACATTAAAACAAATAATTAAAGTATAAATAAATGAGTACTTGTATGTGTACTAGCTGAGAAAAGAGTTGTTAGGGAAATTTTGCATTTGAAGTCACAAGTTCAGCACTTCAGAATGAACAGTTATCTAATTTGTTCTTCTCGCCTGTATATAGATACTTTGGTGAAAAAGTTAGAGATGCCTCAACTTCAGGGTGAAGCCTCCATACTTCTTAGCATAGTGTAATAGGCTCTTTGCAATTCAACCCAAATCTTATGACAGAAGATGCCCCCAAGCAGCCACAGTCTCATAGCCTACTAGCTAAGCCATCCAGCAGAAAAAGAACACCTTTTCCCAGTGGTTTTAACAAATGTTCCAGGGTTGATGTGAATTGACATTAATTAGGTCATGTGCATATCCCAAAACAAATTATTGTAATTAGGAATTTGAGGAGTAGGTCATCAGTTCCAACTGAACCTCAAGAGCTGAGAGTGCATGGCAGGGGATAGGGTGCTCCTTAAAAAAATCAGAGCTTCGCCAGCATTTATCGTTCAAAGTCTTTTGGATTTTAGCCATCCTCACTGGGGTGAGATGGTATCTCAGTGTGGTTTTGATTTGCATTTCCTGGATGCTGAGTGATGTTGAGCATTTTTTCATATGACTGTTGGCCTTTTGTATATCTTCTTTAGAGAAATGCCTGCTTAGCTCTTTTGCCCATTTTTTGATTGGGTTGCTTGTTTTTTTCTTGTAAAGTTGTTTGAGTTCTTTATATATTCTGGATATTAGTCCTTTGTCGGATGTGTATTTTGCAAATATTTTCTCCCACTCTGTTTGTTGTCTTTTAGCTCTGTTAATTGTTTCTTTTGCTGTGCAGAAGCTTTTTAGTTTGATATAGTCCCATTTGTTTATTTTTCCTTTGGTTGCCCGTGCTTTTGGGGTTGTATTCATGAAGTCTGTGTCCAGCCCTATTTGCTGAAGTGTTTCTCCTATGTTTTCTTTAATAAGTTTTATTGTTTCAGAGTGTATATTTAAATCTTTAATCCATTTTGAGTTGATTTTAGTATATGGTGAGAGGTATGGGTCTAGTTTCATTCTCCTGCATATGGATATCCAGTTCTCCCAGCACCATTTGCTGAAGAGGCAGTCCCGACCCCAGTGAATAGGCTTGGTGCCTTTGTCAAAGATCAGATGGCCGTAAGTGTGTGGGTTGATTTCTGGATTCTCTATGATAATCCTTTCTAATAAGGTGGGTGATAAACACTTCAAATCCTTGAATTACCAAAAGTGGTTTTACTTTGTTCCTACTCATGAATGGGTGCATTAGTTGTAGAGAGATTTCTATTTGAAATTATTTGCCTACCAACATCCAGTGTGCTGATGTCAATCTGATCCCTTTCTAACTAGTTTGCTGGCCTTCAAAACTTTTTCTTCATGCTTGATGTTCTGAAATTTCAGCTGAAGTTCTTTTTTTAATTCATTCTCTTGAATACTTAGTTCTTTCAATATGAGAACCCCTGTCTTTCTTTGGTTCTGGGAAATTTATTTCTCTCTTGGTCTCTCTCTCTCTTTCTCTCTGTCTCTGTCTTTCTCTGTCTCTGTTTCTCTCTCTCTCTTCTCTTTTTTTTTTATTCTAGTAATTCTTCCTCAGATGTTCATCCAACAAATATTTACTGAGACACACTAGGATCCAGGTGCTTTTCTAGTTGCTGGAGATTGAATCTGGTGCCTCTGTCATGATATAAGCCTTCTACCTGGATTTGTGATTCCGATGGAGAGCTCGTCCTTGTCTGTAGCTGATAGGTTCTAAACATCCTTTATTGGCAGCCAGATATATTTTATTTCATGTGCAAAGTGCCTTAAAATTTGGAAAGATTGACATAACATCCAGGTTCCCAGATTCTCTGGACCTTTGCGACTAACAGACATCACTGGACTCTGATCTGCTTTTCCTTTTTTTTTTCCCAATGGTTGGCCAATTAGGAGCTGCTGCCTAAGGCAGGCCATGTTCTTCTGTATTATTTAACTCCACGCTATTTCACTCCTACTCCCATTTGAGTTTCTGACCTCTGATCTAGTCAAGAAAGCCCTCTTACTTCACAAAGGAGGAAACTGATGTTGAGAAAGTAAAGCAACTTTCTCAAGGTCAAATAGCTAAAAATAGACAAAAAGCAAGCAAGAGACTGAATCTGGAGGGTTTTCCTTTGCACTTAAAAAGCTTCTGCCAAACACAGACCCCAAGGGATTCCAGCCCAATCCTTTTCCCAAGTGCCAAGGTCAGGTAGTATCAGTTCCATTTCCTTTCTTCCCACCTCCTTCCATTCTCGTTTCATTCTGGGCAGGATTCTCTCTGCATTACTGTAATCTGGGCATTCTCTTTGCCTCTGTCCTGTGTCTAATCCCCATTCCCAGGAACCAGGGATTCTTGTTCTTTGTATCTTTCTCTTGTTTTGCTAAAACACATGTTCCAGGAGCTTCCTAAGAAAGAGTTAATGGGGAGTAAAATTTTCAAGACTTTGAGTATCTATTCATATCTCTATTCTGCCTTCACAGTTGATTGATAATTCACTGGAGTACACAATTCTATATTTTCCCCTGAAATCCACTTTTACTCATGTAGAAAAAAATTCCCAAAGAATAGAGAAAGTCGCCCTCCCTCTGCAGAGCCCCAGGGTGGGCACGCGGATAAAGATGGCGAAATGGGGGTAGCTGGCGCTGAACCTAGAGTGATGGGCTGGCAGGTGGGGCCGTTGTCGGATCGCCTTGACGTGGTGCCGGGCTGTTCTCGGCCATTTGACCTGGCTACCCCGGGCCAGCGCCTAGCAGGTCAGACCACCGACTCCGCGGGTCGCCGAGGGCCCAAGGGCCCCGCCGTGAGCCGAAGGCAATGGACGAACAGAGCGTGTTTTATTTGTATGGAGAAATTGCGGGATGCACGCCTGTGTCCTCATTGTTCCAAGCTTTGTTGTTTCAGCTGTATTCGGTGCTGGCTGACAGAGCAGAGAGCTCAGTGTCCTCACTGCCATGCTCCGCTCCAGCTATGAGAACTAGTAAACTGTCGTTGGGCAGAAGAAGTAACACAGCAGCTTGATACTCTTCAACTCTGCAGTCTCACCAAACATGAAGAAAATGAAAAGGACAGATGTGAAAATCACCATGAAAAACTCAGTGTATTTTGCTGGACTTGTAAGAAGTGTATCTGCCATCAGTGTGCACTTTGGGGAGGAATGCATGGTGGATTATTAAGGTACCTATGCCCTTCCGTAAATATTAATGTTTATAAGTCAGAAGTTGTTGAATCATAGCATTTCAAGGTTCTAAAAATTAGTATTTTGCAGAAAACTTGCATTCTATAAAACGAACTGTGATGTACATTCTAGAAACTAAATTTTATAAATTGTGGATCGAAAAATTGTGTTTCATTTCCATTCACTGAAACTAGTAGGTACATTATCATTGCATATGTAGATAGAATGATTTAGGATTTGGGAGATTGCCAGGTTTTGTCCCAGCTAGACAACCAAGTAAGAATTTAAGAAGTGGTTGTTATTTTTACGTAAGATAGGGAGGCAAAGACAAGGGAAGGTTTTTTTAGCAGTAATTGTTGGGAGACTTCAGTTTTATGTTCAGATGAAGGAGCCAGTGCGGAGAGAGAGTGAAGATGAGGTTAAGCACGTTTATAAACTACAGAGATAATAGCAGTTGGAATGGAGCACTCAGATGATAGACTGAGTAAAAGAAAGGGTGGAGTTCGTAGGTAAGCAGAAGACATCTCTAACCCAAGAAACAGAGCTGTTGGAATCCTTACTTAGGAGGTGGAGCACCAGTTGTGGTCTTGTAGTAAGAGTGAGTTGATATCTATGAGCTCAGAAATCCTCATGATGTTTCACAAGTTCATCGAAAGCCGATGGCATCCTTTGTTACCACTCCTGTTCCACCAGACTTTACCAGTGAATTAGTACCATCTTACGATTCAGCTACGTTTGTTTTAGAGAATTTCAGCACTTTGCACCAGAGAGCAGATCCTGTTTACAGTCCACCTCTTCAAGTTTCAGGCCTTTGCTGGAGGTTAAAAGTTTACCCAGATGGAAATGGAGTTGTTCGTGGTTACTATTTATCTGTGTTTTTGGAACTCTAAGCTGGCTTGCCTGAAACTTCCAAATATGAATATCGTGTAGAGATGGTTCACCAATCCTGCAATGATCCTACCAAAAATATCATTCGAGAATTTGCATCTGATTTTGAAGTTGGAGAATGCTGGGGCTATAATAGATTTTTCCGTTTGGACTTACTTGCTAATGAAGGATACTTGAATCGACAAAATGATACAGTTATTTTAAGGTTTCAGGTACGTTCACCAACTTTCTTTCAAAAATGCTGGGACCAGCACTGGTATATTACCCAGTTGGAAGCTACACAGACTAGTTATATCCAACAAATAAACAACCTTAAAGAGAGGCTTGCCATTGAGCTGTCTCGATCTCAGAAATCAAGAGATTTGTCACCACCAGCTAATCATCTCAGCCCCCAGAATGACGATGCTCCTGAGACACGAGCTAAGAAGTCTGGGTCATGCTCGGACATGCTTCTTGAGAGTGGTCCTACTATACTTTCTGTAAGAGAGGCCAAAGAGGATGAAGAAGATGAGGAGAAGATTCAGAATGAAGATTATCATCATGAGCTTTCAGATGGAGATCTGGATCTGGATTTTGTTGGTGAAGATGAAGTAAATCACCTCGGTGGCAGCAGTTCCTCTGCTAGTTCCACAGCAACAAGTAATACAGAAGAGAATGACATTGATGAAGAAACTATGTCTGGAGAAAATGATGTGGAATATAACAACGTGGAATTGGAGGAGGGAGAACTGATGGAAGATGCAGCTGCTGCGGGACCTCCAGGTAGTAGCCATGGCTATGTGGGCGCCAGTAGCAAAATGTCAAGAAGAGCACATTTATGCTATATTTAGCAGTTTTTTTCTTGATAAAGGAGTATCTTATATAACTAAAGGGACTTGAAGGAAAGACCAATAGACAGCGTTTCCTCCCTCATGTTTGTGTTCTGAGTCAAGAGGTTTTATTTTTCCTTTAACTTTAAATTTTAATTTTGAAATTATTCCATACTTAAGAATAATTGCAAAAACATTACAGGCTGAGCAGCCCTAATCCCAAAATCCAAAATGCTCCAAAATCCGAAACTTTGAGCACTGATGTGATGCTCAAAGGAAATGCTCATTGGGATATCTGTGCAAATATTCCAAAATCTGAAAAAATTCGAAATCAGAAATATTTCTGGTTCCGCGCATTTCGGATAAGAGATATTCAACCTGTACAAAGAATTTCTTTATTCATTTCACACAGATTCATTCCCTAGATGTTAATATTCTGTTTTGTTACATTTCTTTTTTTTCTTTGTATATAATTTTGAGATATTTGAGGTTAAGTGAATACCCTTCTTGTTGTGTATTTTTAAAAACAAGGATGTTTCTTACATAACAGTAGTACAGTTATCAAAATCAGGAAATTAACATTGATGTAATACTATAAGCTTTTAAAAATTTTGCCAGTGATATCCTTCATCTGGTTCAGGATCTAATCCAGGATCACATGTTGCATTTAGTTGTTAAATCTCTTTAGTCTGCTTCAATCTGGGCCACTTTTTTTTATTTGTTTTTCGTAACTGACACTTATGAGAAATACAGTATAGCTGTTTTGTAGAAAGTCCCTCATAATCACTCCCTGGATTAGTCTGATGTTTCCTAATGATTAAATTGAGGTCATGCACCTTTGGTAGGAATACTACAGAAGCGATAATGTATTGTTTTCAGTACATCATATGGGGGTGAAGGGGATCACATGGCGTCAGTCTGTCCTGTTGCTGGTGATTAATCTTTATCAATTGGTTGAAGTGCCAGGTTACTCCACTCTATATTACTACTTTTCTCTTTGTAATTAAGAAGTATCTCCTGGGGATGTATTTTGAGGTTGTAAATATGCTATTTCTCATCCTACTTTTTTGCCCATTCGTTTACCATCCCCCGATGATTCTTACTTGGAAAAGGTTACTGTCTTGATTGCCAAATGACTTTCTAATTCCATTATTCCTTCTTCCTTTAACAGTTGGGGTTCTTTAAAGAAGAGCTTTCCCCTCTGCCCCATTAGTTGATTAACTGTTATTTAATCTATTAATAAGAACTCATGGATTCTTATATATTAAATTGTTTAATCCATTATTATCATTATTCATTTTATTGCTCAGATTATCCCAGACTGGGCCAGTGGGAACCTGTGACAGCTAACTCCTGTGTTCTTTTGGCATGTCCCCATCATTTAGTTTTAACTAGAACACATTCATTGAACAGGCCTTTCCTTCCTTCTCTCTCCTCTTCCTCCACCTTCTACCTCCTTGGTCTTTCTAATAGTACTGTATATTTTCTTCCTGCTGTTTATTTTTTTATTTTTATTTTGAGGTAATTGTAGATTCACATGCACTTGTAGGAAATAATACAGAGATCCCAACCCTTTACATAGTTTTCCCCGGTGGTAACATCTCATAAGATTATAATCAGGATATTGACATTGATATAGTCAGAGTGTAAGGGCTGGCCAGTTAGCTCAGTTGGTTACAGTGTAGTGTTATAACACCAAGGGCAAGGGTTTGGATCCCTGTAATGGCCAGCTGCCAAAAAATAAATAAAGATATATAACACTTCTGTCACCATAAGGATCCCTTATGTTGCCCTTTGTAGCCACACCCACTGCCTTGTGTTGAATGCCCCCCCAAAACTTAATCTCTACTGTAACTGTTGAGGGTGAGAAATCCTATTATGGTAATTGAAAGGTGGGGCCTTGAAGAGGTGATTAGATTGTAGGACTGTGCTGTAGTGAATGGGTTAATAACGGTGGTCATAGACGTGGTTTGGAGGGCTTTAAATAAAAAGAGGAGGTTAGTCTCTGCTCTCTCTGCTCCACCATTTCACAATGTGATACCCTGCTGTCACGGCAACAAGTAATACAGAAGAGAATGACAGTGATGAAGAAACTATGTCTGGAGAAAATGATGTGGAATATAACAACATGGAATTGGAGGAGGGAGAACTGATGGAAGATGCAGCTGCTGCGGGACCTCCAGCCATAAATAAGAAGAGTAATTCACCGAAGCCAGCTCGGTCCAGTATAGCAGGCAGTCTATCACTTCGAAGAGCAGTGGACTCTGGGGAGAACAGTCGTTCAAAAGGAGATTGTCAGACCCTGTCTGAAGGCTCCCCAGGAAGCTCTCACTCTGGGAGTAGGCATAGTTCTCCCCGAGCCTTGACACATGGGACTATTGGTGATATTCTGCCAAAAACTGAAGACTGACAGTGTAAAGCTTTGGATTCAGATGCCGTTGTGGTTGCAGTTTTCAGTGGCTTACCTACTGTTGAGAAATGTTGTGGTTGCAGTTTTCAGTGGCTTACCTACTGTTGGGAATAGGAGGAAGATGGTCACCTTGGGGTCTAATGCTAAAGGAGGCCACCTAGAAGGAATGCAGGTGACTGATTTGGAAAATAATTCTGAAACTGGGGAGTTACAACCTGTACTGCCTGAAGGAGCTTCAGCTGCTCCTAGGAAGGAATGAGTAGCGACAGTGACATTGAATGTGACACTGAGAATGAGGAGCAGAAAGAGCACACCTGTGTGGGTGGATTTCACGACTCTTTCTTGGCACAGCCCCCAGATGTAGGTGCAAACCGTGGTGTCATTTTACGCAGAGTAATAAAAACGTCGCTGCTGCTGCTTTTTCCTCTGCTGCTGCTGCTTGTTACTCTGCTCTGCTGCTTTCGCTGCTTCTGCTTCTTTTTCTTTAAATTGTCATTTGTGAGACAACATTCTTTGGTAAACCATGTGGTGAGTACAGAATAAATTTGGTAGGTAATGTTTGCCTTGGGTAGATACCTAATGAGTGTTACTTATTGGGCGGAGAAGGGTTTACAACCTGCTTCTGTGCAGCCTGTGACCTGCAAAAGACATTTACATCCCAAAGAGTTGTAAAAAACACACCAAAAAAGTTAATTTTCCACAGAGACCATTTGTTACTTGCAGTGCCGCAATGCTTACTATCTGCTCCTTTATAGAATATATTTGCCAACTCCTGGGGAGGTTTCAGATGTTTGTTTTGTTTTGTTCTTTTCAGAGATTTTTCTAGCCTACTATAAGATAACTTTTTAAAAATAACTTTTTCTGATTTCTTAGTAGTGTATGCAGATTATGGAATCATTAATTTTTATTCCCTCTTCCTCCAAAAAAATTCTTAAAAATGGGCCGGCCCGGTGGCGCACTGCTACAGTGCGCCGCTTGGGAGTGTGGCGGCGCTCCCGCCGAGGGTTTAGATCCCACATACAGACCGGTTCCCGCTCACTGGCTGAGCGAGGTGCGAGTGCGACACTGAGGGTTGCGATCCCGTTGCCGGTCCCGGTCCAGTACGGGCGC